TCTATCTATCTATCTATCTATCTATCTATCTATCTATCTATCTATATATCTGTCTGTCTGTCTGTCTGTCTGTCTGTCTGTCTGTCTGTCTGTCTGTCTGTCTGTCTGTCCGTCCGTCCGTCCGTCCGTCCGTCCGTCCGTCCGTCCGTCCGGGTGCTCTCATGATCACGCCCTTAACATGGGGCACGCGAAAATTTGTACGGGAGGGTAAGATGGTTTAACGAATACGACTCACTGGTCATTACATAAATAATGTCACAATCTCGTCGCGTTGTGGAGCACTTCACAGAAAGCAGCGGCACATACCTGGTGGTGGCGGGCGCCATGGCATGCGGGTATGTGCCACAGATGATGGACGTTCTATATCTACCCAGGAGCGGCAAGAACACGCATGGGTAATTTTGTCGCTTGGGTGCGTTAAGAAAAAGCTGCCGCGTAGCAACGTTGAGCGGACGAATGCAAAGAGCTTATGTCAGTTCCCCAGCATGAATCGAACTCTGGCATTGTGCGTGGCAAAGAGGTATTCTATACCACAGAGCCACGCCAGGCCTCGGGTATATTTTTCTAACATACCCTAATGTTCGTGTAACGTCAATTGTGGTTGCTGTACTGGATGTCCAATTTTATAAGCATTACACATGTATTCCTACGGTATAGCCGTCACGTCGGCTTAGCGTATATTGTAGTTAGGCGCCATCCGCTGACGTTGATTTGTGTAGACGTGTTGAGGGCTACCGTCCTCGCGCGCACTAGCGCCAACGTAAGCACTTCATATAAGCTTACCACTCCTGGTGTTGCTAATATCGATGTTGCTGTTGTCATCGTTCCACAACCGTAAACAACTGCTAATATATAACGTAAGCGGCTGTTTAACTTGATTGTGTGCGTGGATCGGTACATATTTGGCGCCCCTTTCTAACGTCTCGCTCAATATAAAAAAATAAAGCACATTCACCTTCCTTCCGCATGCTTCACGTAACGTCGATTCTTTAGGTACCTGGGATCAGCCGAATTTATATTTTCTGTCTTTATTTATTTATTTATTTATTTATTTATTTACTTCTTTCTTCTTTTCTTTCTTTTCTTTCTTTCCTTCCTTCTTTGTCACGAGTAGTTTCGTCTCATGACAAAGCAGGATCAAGGAGGATTAAATAAAATTGCTGGAGCGGAAGCTCCCGCAATGCCTTGCCAGCAGAAGTGAAGCTATCTTTTGCCACTGCCAAGATGGCGGAAACGTGCTCTTTTCTGAGAGTGCCCACTTAAAGATCTAGTGGTTTTGATATGTTAGTGTAAATGTTGCGTTAGTTCTATATTAAAAGATAGTTGTTGCCGACGAAATAACACACAGAAACGAGTATCGGTGACTGAATCTCCAAAGAACTTTGCTTCCAATTAGAGGCTGGCTAAGGAAAATTAGTAACACTAAGACGCACTTGGAGCACTATGTGACCCGAAAAAAGATTCCACATTAGACTCGTTGGGCGTGCGAGGGAAACGCTTCGTTTTTAATCACAGAAAGGTGATAATTCATTATGCCCCTAGTAAGATGGCCACTACAGCCGCCATCTTGCCAGAGGAATGGCTTCACTTCTGCGCAATCATTTCCACTCCAGCAATTTTTTAAATCCTCCTTGAGCAGGATTCACTTCGGCTGGCAAGGCATTGCGGGAGTTTCCACTGCAGCAATTTTTCTTTAATCCTCCTTGGCACGAACCGATCGCCTGTGGCGTTTCGCTGCTGGGCGAAATGAAAACGAGGCACAGCGAAGACAAACGCGTTAAGTTGAGGCCTCACTTCAACTTCTGTGAGCTCTAGCAACACTCTCTTTGCTGCCATATTCGGCGTGCAGTGCGTAGAATTATCGTTTCCCGCCACGGCTTGTCTTTCATTCATACGCGTCTCGGTGCGATTGTAATGCTCGTCCTATAGACGTTATAGACCCGGAAATCGCATTTCGTGATAACATAGGCACATCCTCCATCGTACAAAGCGAGGCCATTTAACTAGGCCCTTTCGAATAGAGCAGAAATAAGCAAAGAATAAGTTATGACTCAGCAACGTTGTTTAGCCTTTCTTACAGTTAACTCCCCAATGTGGTCCGAATGGAAATTTACGTACGCATTCGGTCCTAACGGGAAACATGCCCATATTGGTATCACAAGGCCTTCTCTTTTCTTGTTTTTCTTGTTTGTTTGTTTTTTAGGTGGGGGGGGGGGGGGGGTTTAATTTTCGCACTCGCAGGGATCTCATTTGTAGGTCTGGTCAAATATAGGGGCGCGTGTGTAAAGTGCAGCCATATTTTTCACGTCGCCATTTACAGACGACGCGTTTTCGGCGGGAATAATATGCTCACAATCATTGAAAAATTGCGCCTCCCGTTTCTTGATTGCGTTACACGAAAGAAAATAAACCGGCCGGCTTTGCTCCGCCGACGCTGGGTGACACTGAGGATACATCACGACATACAACGGGTGATCTGCCTCAGATAAAAAGTGTGTTCTTTACATGCGTGACCCACATAATGTGAACATTATTATAGCGCAGAAAAAAAAAGCGTGTAAGGCGCGGCCCGTTCTTCGAAAACTCGTAGCAGAAAGGTGGTGTGGTGGTTGAACAATTTAGAGATCAAACAGTACCAGAGACAAAGATACATAAGAACAAATGAACTATCCAACATGATACAATAACGAAAGCTGACGAGCATATGAAAAAGCAAAACATGGTGATAATACAACGTATACCTTTTAACGCATTGTTTACCCGAATTCTTCAAACTTGTGTTATGCACGATGGACTCGTGTAACCTGTGTTAGGAAAAAAAAATGGTTCCTGGTCTGCAGGGACCAAGTGGTGCCGCGTTTCCACTTCCCCACGTTCCCTGATGCGTATAGAAGCCTATTACGTTGCGGGAAAACAGGTCTACGAGTACGAAGGGCACGCCATACTTGGACGAAGTCGCAGTGATGCAAGGGTGTGGTATGCGCGGTAGGTGAATGATTTAGGCGTCCCAGGGGTGCATAGGGACAGCTCGAGCAACGACCCAACATGGGATCATGAAGATATACAAAAGCGCACGAAGGAATACGGGAACCATATTGCGGATACCGACATGTGTGACGCACAAGGGGGGAACCGTTAACGTGCCGCTTACACAGCTTATGCGAATTCGCACTACGCGTGAATGACAAATGCATGGTTGCTCTCATTAAGGATAATTGGTTACTGATAAGCGGGTACCAGGTGAAGATGCCGCTTCCCGACATCCCAACATGCCTATAATGAGCAAGCTTCGAACAACGTCAACAGCTGAACGCACCTGATTTTTTGATATGTGTGGGTTTAACTTCCCAAAACCACGATATGATTATGAGAGACGCCGTAGTGGAGGGCTCTGGAAATGTCGACCATCTGGACTTCTTTAACGTGCACCCAAATCTGAGCACGCGGGCATACAGCATTTCCGCCTCCATCGGAAATGCAGCTGCCGCAGCCGGGATTCGGTCCCGCGACCTGCGGGTCAGCAGTCGCGTATACCTTAGCCACTAGACCACCGCGACGGGGCCAGCTAAACGCACCTGTGCACAGTGTAGGCTCTGGGCAGATTTTCACAGGTTGCAAATGGTATGCGAGTTGCCAGAAAAGTTTAGGGACATGCGAGCTGGTGAAAGGGCAAGTATATAGGGTATAGGCAGGTAAACCAACAAGAGCAGAATGTGAAACGTTAAAAGCGCATCCCTATAACGCAAATGGTTACCGGCCGTGCGTACTCGTTGATGCATCGCTTTAGCCGGACACTTCGCATTAGCGGGACGTGCTCGAGTCGTACACCGGAGCTGCAACCGAAGCCCGTGTCCGGTGATCCTCCGCGGAACTCATTATACGGTCCCGTCACCGAGGCATCTCGCTCGCCGCCTTTGATCTGCGCGCCTCTGCGAACAAATCGCTTCTGACTTTTCCCGCTCGGCGCGTGTCAGTGCGAGGCGAGCATATGTAGTCTATTTCAGCCTTGCTCAAGCTCGTTTCGGGTGGGCTTTTGAAACAAAGTACGGGACGATACGAAAAAATCAAATAAAAAAGTACTGGATTTCAAGTCAGCGTATAACCTTTGGACGGGCACAGTTAGCTAGGAGTGGTACTTCGCTTACTCGAGAAACTCGTTCGTTGAAGTATCTTTCAGGGCGTGTAAAACGAGTCCTCGTTCAGCTTGCGTTTCGACGGGGAATGCGCAAATGTACGTGAGCAGCCAGGCGCCTCGCTTACACTATTCGTAACCACGAACCTTATGAACGGAAGAAAGAAGGCTCGGGGGTTGGGTTCGTTCTATTTATTAAAGACACAAAAATACGAAACCAACGGTGAGCGAAGTCAGAGAAAGCGTCGCTGGAGATATTTCTTGTTTTCGATTGAAGTGCAGTTGTTATGTAGTACATAAATAGAATCGAAAGGGATGGGAAAAAAACAAAACAACTTTCAGTACTCAAGGTTTTGAAAAATACTTGAAAAGGATTAGTTGACAAGAGAGCTTATCTGTGGCAGCAAATGATTAAGAAAAGTTTACTGCAAACTTGGGTTCGTTTCCCATTCTCTGTCCAACTAATTCTCGCAAGCCGCCGTGGTTAAAATACTGGACTTCTGACTTGAAAATTGCGGAATCGAATCCCATCCTCGACGGCCACATTTCGGCGGGGGTGAAATTCTGGAGACCCGTGTATAAAAATTTAGGCAGTCGACACTTCTGGAGCACTCCACATACGGCGTCCCTCGTGATGATATCGTGCTTTCGGGAGAGAAAAATTTCGACGATTATCATTAATATTTATCATCTCTACAATTCTTTATCTTCTTTCAATTTCCTCTCTCGTTTTCATTATTCTGAGACGTCGCAAACGACCCATCCCCCCAATCGCCTGCGCACGTTCCATATGCCAGTTAACGGTTTCCCCGAGTCATCTTTTAAAGGTCATTGTAGTCCCCTGTTTGCAGCGGCGTCTGAAGCTTACCACCACGTCAGCTGTACTCAATGCTGCCGAGTCATCGTCCGGCGTCTCCATTTTCGGGCAACGTTAGAATAACGTTTTACGCCACCTCATTCGTCCGGTACCGCTAACACGCAGCGGAATCGAGTCGGGGTGGAATCGTATTAACACTAATCACGACGAACACGTCACCACCTCCCGACTGCATCCGATCCGTTGAACGGTTGATTAGCAATGCAAATTCCGGGTGCTGATTCGCAGATCGGGTAAACATTGTGCGCGTCGCAAGGGTTGCCTCCGTAGAGTTTCCTAAGTCTAATTTCAGGAAACTCTATGGTCGCCTCGTCTGGTGCCCTCCTGTTTACTCAAACTGCGTACTCGATGTTGCCAACTCTTGCAGTGATCTCTAAGAGAAACGTGTCATCGTTTGGACATCCTTACTAGGTATAAGCCCCCACCTTCTTTATTTCATTTTTTCTTTGCGTATGTTTTCGCGTGAACTAATAAATTTATCAAATCGTAAGGGCTCGTGCTTGAGAAATTGTTTTGATATCCGGCAATATCCAAGCTCGACATGTTCAACCTCTTTACTTATGATGTGAACACTGAACTACTGTGTCCAGTCTAAACGTGGTCATCAACGATCTCATCCTGTGCGAACCATATTTTCGTTAAATTTATTGCGCTATGGCAACCGTGTCACAGTACATGCAGTCTGAACGATTCGTCACGTGTCGAAGGCTACACCAGCCTGCTGTTGAGTGTGAAGTCGCCGGTTCGGTTCCCATGACGATCGAATTCAGATGGACTTACGAAAGCTTCCGGTATAGCCGCCATTCCGGTGATGCCCCCTCGTGTGACCCATGTACCCGTTCGAATCGAATTCAGGTGGTTAAGACTTCTGCCCCTGATTTAAATAGGGCATCGCCTTGAGGTGTCCTGAATTTCAGAAATTAATCCCAAGCTTTTAGTCAAGTCATCTTTGGAGTACCGCCCCATGTTCGGAATATTATACAAAATTAACTTATTATGAAATAATTCGCTTGTTTCTCTATTTATCGATCATTTCGTTCTACTTACCAGACTAAAGGAAGGCGCACTGACACACACGAATTTACAACTCGTTTAAAAAAACAGCATGTTTTCATATATACTACGTCAGTCTGAAATAAATAACTTTGGCTTTTTTTTTTGTTTGTTTTACGTCCTTCAATGAACCGCTTGGCTTCGCCTTCAAAGGAGTCTGGCCACGGACTATGATAACACAAGCAGCAAAACAACAATATAAGTAAACAAATACAGGTCATAAAGGGCACGGGTGAAATAATTCCAGACGAGAAAACACAGGAAAAAGCTTCGTCTTTGGCTAGACAGACTGTTTGATAAATAAATTAAAAATGTGCAATTTTTTTTGCGCCCGTTTGCTTTGTACGCGTGACAGCTTCGCTTAGAGTACGTGCGAACAGTTTCCTGAGAAGCAAAATAAAAGTACGCGGCAGTAATTTTTTATTGTTATATATCATATCAATAAAAAAATTAAGTGATAGTGCTTTTCACATCTTGTATACAACGATATCTGCTCTGAGAAGACAGACGACAACACATACACAACGAAAAGCATTCAGCCTTGAGCTCGCTACCGAACGATGTGAAAGATAGAGATAAAGGTGGCAAACGCGACGCTTTCGACACATCGTCATGTATACATAAAAGGCCTGTCATATTGTTTGGATCTGTCCCGGCTGCCCTCCACCCCCCACCCTCTCAAACATCCGCGGTAACGGAACCCTGTCAACGCTGTCGGTGCAGCATCATCGAGACCTCGTCACAGTAGGCGCCGCCGTGTCTCGCCGTTGTTCTATCAAGTTGCGTGCAGTATACAGTATTTTTACTAATAGAGTAAATTTTAGTTTCGCCCACAGCTGTCTCTGTCCCTCCCACGATTAATTTGGATGATAAGTGTTCCGTACAATAGCGCTCGCTTGTTAAAGACGATAGTCTTTCCTGGGATACTTGAGTGAATGGTTAAAAAACTATATTGACGATGTCCGGTGGTATTTAGCGGGGTGGGGCTACAAGCACCCCAGCCTAGGTGACGGCCTCGAGTCCTCGGACACGGGTGGCATCCTGGGCGCGCTGGACTGCAGTTGATCGGCGAGATCGCGGCTGATGATATCCGCCTCCCATCGCGCCTTGCGGTCCGAGACTGCCATGTCTACACGGTTCATAGGACGCAGAATTTTTTTTGGTCTGTCTGTCTGTCTGTCTGTCTGTCTGTCTGTCTGTCTGTCTGTCTGTCTGTCTGTCTGTCTGTCTGTCTGTCTGTCTGTCTGTCTGTCTGTCTGTCTGTCTGTCTGTCTGTCTGTCTGTCACACGAAACACTTCAGCACCGCGGCCAATGTTTCATTACTCGCTCAATGCCCAGCCGTCTTGGTGGCTGCGTTCATATTCGTGTTCAGAAAAAAAAAAATGGTTGATGATTTAGTGCACTATGTGCTTAGAAAATTTGATTTTCACACATATTAGTAACGTTCAAGCAAAAAGTTTTCTTGTTAGACATACGCTAACGATGATGACAATCAAGGTGCATGAAGAAGTGTTGACTATGTTTAGAAAAGGTTAGTAATGATGTAGGAAAAAAATGGTAGAGAAGGAAAGGCAGGGAGGTCAACCAGTCCAGGAAAGCCGGTTTGCTACCCTACATGTGGGAACGGGAAGGGGGAGATCGAAAGAGGTAGAGAAAATAGCGGAAAAAGATGGAAAGATAAAAAAACTGGCCCCTTATCTTCATGTTAATCTGCAAATGTCGTCGAAAGTCTTGCGTCTGGAGAGATGGAACAAACCGTTTATTTGATGTTCTGCGCAAGAAAATTCGTGAATGGTATTCTAGAGGTGCTGCGTTAAAGTGCCTCGGGCGTGCAGCGGAAGCGAACGAGCGCACTGAGTCGCGTCAAACGTGAGACATGAACGCTATCTGGCAGTTACCTTGGAAAACAGAACGCGTGGCTCTGAAACGGGCGTGTGCGCCCGTCTCAGAGGTGATAAGCTGTAGAACGCAAGGCGACGGGTAGGTGCCGCCACCGTGTCGTCTTAGCAAAGCGTTGGAAACGCTTCCCTTTTCGTGCAAGCGTTACATGGTCAGCGCCGCGTGATAAACGCTACGGTCCTCAGAATAACTTGTGAATGCCTCTTCTAGTAAAAGACGCACATACAGAATATACAGGTGTTGTTATGGTGCCTCATATATGCGCGATAATTGCTTTTTAATTGACAATCACACAAGTATGAACGCTGAAACTTGAGCAACATTGGTGGACGCTGCGGATGGGATCGGCCGTTGCAGATATCCGCTGCTGCCGTTTTAAATGCTCGGTACAGTTAGGGGGGACAAACAGACAAATGTACAGACAGACCAAAATTTTTGCGTCGAAGGTTCCCAAGAAAGACTATCGTCTTTAATACAGACGTTTCAGAGTACTATAAGTACTCTACTAATTGAGAGCATAAAGCCGCTCGTGGGCAGCTAGGCTTCATTCATGAACCAGCTTTGGTTAGGAAATGAGGCCTAGCTGTTAGAGAAATTTATTCTCAGAAACAGCGAACATCAATAGCCTTCCAACAGAACATCGCGACGGAACACATGCACAGACATACGAACGTTTGTTACAAAAAGATCTATTTGTCTGTCTGTTGGTCGGTCGGTCGGTCGGTCGGTCGGTCGGTCGGTCGGTCACCCGATTCAATATCACTTGGCGAAAGTTTAAGCACTCGCTCAACACCCAGCCATCTTGATTTGGTGGCTGCGTTCGTACTTGGGAATATTGGCGATCAAAAAGCAAATATTACGCATATGTGTGAGCTGCAACGTCCATACGTCAGTATTAAGTAGTCTGGTTTCGTACTAGAGAACGCAGATACGCTTGATTCTAAAGACCCTAGTATTTCTTACGCTGCGCGGACAGTGCGACGTAATTCACAAAAAAAGCGAGTGTTTGCTACGCTTCACTTCGACGATATGGTGCTGCCACTTACCAGCGACTCGGCGTACTACACGAGCTTCTGTTTCCCGATGGTACCGCCAGATGGCGTCCGTATCTCACGCGGCGCCTCCAGACAGAAGACTGTGATTTCGACGACATTTGCAGCGGGACACGTAGATAGGTGGCCATTTTTTTCCCGTAAGTTGTAGGCGAGTATAATAGCAAGTAGTACGTTGCTTGTAAGTAGTGTCGGATCTTTTTGAATACGTAGTCGTGTACACATTGTCCACACACTGAGGACGCAAAATTTAGCTATCTTCGCTGACAGCAAAAGAGTTCGGTTCAGTGTGAGTACAATAGCCAAAAAGAGTGCGGTGCACCTGTCTTCCATTTTCGAAAAGAGGCCCAGCTATGCAAGGCCATAATTAGGTCGTCTAATTGAGCCGTGAAGAGCTCGATCACAGAATGACAGGGTTAAACTGTGAAATCTGCAAGTTTCCGTGGCACCGCCGATGCACGCAGTTTGTTCGCGGATGACTTCCGCGAGTCGACTCACCGGTGCGGAAGACGGGTTCGAAATTAGTCTCTGTAGGTGTGGTTGGCGCAATCATCACTTAATATGACGTAGCGCGCCCTTTCGTCAACAGGAAAAGTGTCTCAATCTTCCGTAAGTGCGTGTCCTGTTGCTTTTGTGCTTCTTCGCCGACACGTCGTGGTGTGAATTGGCAAAATGTCAAAAACAGATGAAGGAGGACAGGTGTTTAGTGCGTATTCTAAACTTTGGCAATGCCCTAATCACCTTGAAAAACGGGTGAGCTTCAGGCTGTCCAGAGGTGCCTAGAACGTGCTGAGAGACATGGCCTCTCTGTTCCGACATGGAACTACCCGACCACCGGATGGGGACCTACCTAATTGGCCCGCTGCCACGCCTTCCAGGACCAAAATAAAGTTGTTTGTCGGTCTGCCTGCAAGCACGGACACGAAGCTCTACAATTTCCACTTGCCATAAGGGAATGGAACTGTTTGGATTCCTCCATAACTAGTGCGAAATCGGTATCCGACTTTGCACTAAAATTAGAAAATATGTTCTCTTAA